GTGTGTGTGTGTGTGTGTGTGTGTGTGCGTGTGCGTGTGCATAGTGCAGGTGTCTACAGTATGCATGTGCAGTGTGTGACAACGAGTTTGCTTCAGACTAAATGTGTCTCTTCTTCTCCACATCACATCAGTCACATTTCATCTTTTTTGGAGCACATCTCCAGACATCAGTTGTGGGAAATGGAGAAGATGCATTTGTTTGCCCGGGACAAGGTGGGACTGTGTGATCATGGGAGCTTTTTATTTTTTGAGGCAGCGTGTGTAAAGATGGTGTTGTCAGCATACTTTTTTTTTTAACTCTCTGAAAAAAAAATTACGGTAGGGAAGAGAGAGGCGATGTTTGTTTTGATTGCAGCTTGTTTCAAAACCTACCTTCACTGAAATGTCTGTCATTATATATATATATGTATGTATACATTTTAAAAATATTTTTTCAAGTAATGAGATTACTAAATATACTTAAAAAAACATTTGACATACATACAAATTATTTTGTTGTACAAACTTACATGGATGGCAAAGACAATGATTCAATAATACAAATAAAGTGTCTGTTAAAAAAACAAAAAACTGTTTTTGTCAATTGTCGACATTTTTTTAAGTCATAGCCAGCAATAAATTGTGCTATGTCCTTCCCTGATATCATATGCATCAGAGAGTTGAAATATCGTATGAATGAATTTTACCTTCCTTACTGAGCTGCATCCATTCATTTTCAATGCCACCATTTTCTCACTTTGCTACAAGGTCTTTTTCAAATTCAGGGGCTTTGCCATCTCCTTTACCAGCATTGCATTCAATATATAAGCACAAAAATGCCCCAGATGATAATGTGCTGCTGCTTTGCGCTGATGTCCACTCAAGAAAACAAAGCTGCACGTGCGCATGAGATGCTTTGATGGGGCTCGATGCTTGAACATGAGCAACCGAGTCATATGGTTTTGGAGCAAAAACAAAGTGGATATGTGGGAATATTTCGGTTTTTTAAAAAATGGTTGAAAACTGAATCATATGAAAACTAGGGCATATAAAAGCTGTGGTTCCACTGTCCTGTGCAGGCTGATTGAACACTCTACATTGTCCTTAGGTGTGAGTGTTAGCGCGAATGGTTGTTTGTCTCTATGTGCCCTGCGATTGGCTGGCAACCGGTTCAGGGTGTCCCCCGCCAACTGAAGACAGCTGGGATAGTCTCCAGCACCCCCCGCGACCCTTGTGAAGAGAAAGCGGATCGGAAAATGCATGGATGGACAACTCACTATGCGGCAAAGCAAGAGCGCCGTCATGCGACCATGACACCAGTCACTTTTGACCAACAACAAGCTAACTTTCGCTCCTCCCTCTCATACAGAGATCTTCAACCGCCATCATACTTTCATGACAATAATAATAATAATAATAATAATAATAATAACACGTTTTTGCAGAAGAACTCACCTATTTGAAGTGTTTGTGCTCTTTATTTGATGTCAGAAGAGGCTGCCAAAGCTCTGGCTGAATAGGAAAGTAATACTTGGTATCAAGGACATACATATATTGAAGTGCGATCCATCATGACAGATGAGACAGACTTTGTATGATGGGGAGGAGCTACATTTAGCCTTGGTTGTTAGTGGAAGATACAAAATGTCTTCACCACATGCGCACATTGATCCTTTCATCCATCCATTTTCAACATTGCTTTTCCTGAAGAGGGTCGCGGGGAGTTGCTGGAGCCTATCCGAGCTGACTTTAGGCGAAAGGCGGACTGCACCGTGAACTGTTCGCCAGTCAGTCGCAGGGCACATGTAGAGACAAACAACCAGTCACACCCACATGCAATCCGTCACTGAGTGGAAGCTGATCCCACGCTGCCCGCACCCAAGCCCAGCGAGTGTACCACTACACCATCAGTGATGCGCACTTTCAGTGATTTGAAAAAAAAAACCCCAAAAAAACAGTTTTTGAGGTTACGTTCAAAAGACAAGTCAAAGGTTTTGGGGGTTATAGTGTGTGTGTGTGTGTGTGTGTGTGTGTGTGTGTGTGTGTGTGTGTGTGTGTGTGTGTGTGTGTGTGTGCGTGTGCGTGTGCATAGTGCAGGTGTCTACAGTATGCATGTGCAGTGTGTGACAACGAGTTTGCTTCAGACTAAATGTGTCTCTTCTTCTCCACATCACATCAGTCACATTTCATCTTTTTTGGAGCACATCTCCAGACATCAGTTGTGGGAAATGGAGAAGATGCATTTGTTTGCCCGGGACAAGGTGGGACTGTGTGATCATGGGAGCTTTTTATTTTTTGAGGCAGCGTGTGTAAAGATGGTGTTGTCAGCATACTTTTTTTTTTAACTCTCTGAAAAAAAAATTACGGTAGGGAAGAGAGAGGCGATGTTTGTTTTGATTGCAGCTTGTTTCAAAACCTACCTTCACTGAAATGTCTGTCATTATATATATATATGTATGTATACATTTTAAAAATATTTTTTCAAGTAATGAGATTACTAAATATACTTAAAAAAACATTTGACATACATACAAAGTATTTTGTTGTACAAACTTACATGGATGGCAAAGACAATGATTCAATAATAGAAATAAAGTGTCTGTTAAAAAAACAAAAAACTGTTTTTGTCAATTGTCGACATTTTTTTAAGTCATAGCCAGCAATAAATTGTGCTATGTCCTTCCCTGATATCATATGCATCAGAGAGTTGAAATATCGTATGAATGAATTTTACCTTCCTTACTGAGCTGCATCCATTCATTTTCAATGCCACCATTTTCTCACTTTGCTACAAGGTCTTTTTCAAATTCAGGGGCTTTGCCATCTCCTTTACCAGCATTGCATTCAATATATAAGCACAAAAATGCCCCAGATGATAATGTGCTGCTGCTTTGCGCTGATGTCCACTCAAGAAAACAAAGCTGCACGTGCGCATGAGATGCTTTGATGGGGCTCGATGCTTGAACATGAGCAACCGAGTCATATGGTTTTGGAGCAAAAACAAAGTGGATATGTGGGAATATTTCGGTTTTTTAAAAAATGGTTGAAAACTGAATCATATGAAAACTAGGGCATATAAAAGCTGTGGTTCCACTGTCCTGTATGTTCAAATGAGCAGATCCATTTTTTTTTTTTTTACACAAGGACTTGTGTGCACTCTGTTCAATTCCAATGTCAGAAAGCTTTTGTTCTCTGCCCAAGATGGATGCTTGGCTTACAATGCAAATGGCAGAACATCACAAATACCAAACCACTTGGATGACACAAAAGACAATAAAATGTTCAGCAAGTCAATTCTGTCTCTGTTGCAGAACACAGGCTAAACGGCAACAACGGCACCATTCATCTTTGCAAATGTACGGCATTTAACATAACAAAAACATTTTAGTTGAGTGATGCAAGGGTTTGGGTTGCTAAAGTGTTCTTTTAAGATAAATGCTTTTTCCGTTTTGCTTCTTCTTTATCAGCCGTCCTGGAATAAACCCATTCTGTGTTTCATACTGTTTCAATTGCAGACAGGTGCTGGGTTCAGATGACACCTGTCAGCGAACCTGACAATATGAATCACAACAAATCGTTACAAAGAAGGGTTCCTCACAAAGAATATATTGAATATTCTATTATAGAGGACTCATCTGTGGATTATTAGGGCCACATAAACATTTCAATCAGATTCAGATTGCATTCAGAACTGACTTAGTGTCATATTAGCATAAGCAGCCACATGCTCCTGTAGCTGGTACCCATTTCTTTTGCTTGTGTGTGTGTGTGTGTGTGTGTGTGTGTGTGTGTGTGTGTGTGTGTGTGTGTGTGTGTGTGTGTGTGTGTGTGCCGCATGCCTCACACTTATTTTACCACACGTGCACGCATTGGAAGTTGAATTAATTATAAAACGGGACCTTTGCAAACGCAGTACGTACTTTATCTAAATATAATATTAGATAATAATTTAAAATAACCTGATATTTACTGTTAGTGTTATTATGTTTTGCCCATTTCATGTAACCAAATTATTGGAAACACCAAACCTCGAATCCTATTCCACAGTTCAAACTTGACTGCAAACAAACAAAACTTTGTGCAGCCGCAACAGCTGTGCCGCTGCACCTTTAAGAAAAAAAAGGCTTCCATTCTGTTGCCCCGGTAACCCGGAAGCTTGGCGCCCCAGAGTACTTCCTGTTTGGGAGACCATCCAGGAAGCAGCAACGAGTGTCGAGTGTGTCGTGTCGCATGTTCTCAAAGCGTGTGAGTCAAAGATGAGCAACATGCTTGTTTCCGTCTGTGCAACTAGCGCGTCTTGGTTTGCTTTTCAAAGTATGTGAAACAAAAAAGCACGACTTTATCGTTCCTCGACTCGCTCGCAGCGGCTCCACATGGACGCGGATACTCTTTCAGTCTCAGCAGGCATCTGGAGTAACAATACACATTTGCTACCTTTTGGTAATGTCTGCAGACTTAACATGTGTGCAAGTGGAGCCAGCGCGAGTCATTGACAAATAGTTGTAATAAACTAACTGTTGGGGTTTTCTTTCGTTCTATTTAATACCAATAGTTGTCTGAATTATTAATGCTGCATTAATAGCACGGTCACAATCGTGTTATAGAAAAACATGCATTTGAACAAGATATTTCATCATTTTATTATGATTATTTTAAATCTCTGTCACAGGGGACACCTCGGTGATTTTGGGGAACTGATCTGATGCTTAGCTCTCCGCCCTGTGCTGCTAAACCAGCTGTGTGCATCTTGTTGATCGCCATGGCCCAGGTGGCCGGCCAGGAAGACGGAGAGAAAACCACAGCGCTCAAAGGTGATTCTCAAAGTCTTCGCACTAGAGCTCAATTTTTTTTTTTTTTTTTGCCCATGTGCGACATGCATCAGATATTCTTTTCATGCAGTGTGAACAGTACAATTCTGATTATTTCAAATCCGTTGAAACACATTTGACCGTTATGTCATCAAAGATTTCCCCAACTTAATCCACCTTGTACTACCACAACTATCATGTCCCAGTCACAGAAACCATGAATGTACAAATAAACAAAGACAGAACGTAGCTGTGCCACCTACATAATGTGGAGCATTTCAGAATGAATCTTATCTCATAGCATTGCAAAAATAAAGATATTTTTGGGTTTGCTTTTATCTTAGATTGGAAAGAGTCAACTGCAAATAGCTCTGTTTTTGCAGTTTGCGGCTGTATTAAGATAATATAATCTGACATGACATTCTGTTTCTTCTCAGACTTGCTGTCAAGAATAGATTTAGATGAACTCATGAAGAAGGATGAACCCCCCTTCACCTTCCCCAAAACCCTGGAGGAATTTGAATATGCCTTCAATGATTGTAAGTAGACATTTAAAGGCATGCTCTGCAATATTTTCAAGAAAACAGCAGTACTCATCAACTCACATGGTCGATGTTAGCCAATTTTCTTTTTTTTTACCTTTATGTATCCGCCCTCGAACCATTTACAGCAATTGTACACAAGTAACGCTGCTCTCATTTCATTATGACACATAATTCTAGACCTTGAACTTTGTTCATGCTATTTTATTATGACATTTATTGCTAAGGACTTTCTATGGACCTGTTATTCCAAACAAAGTAAATCTTCATTTTTACAAGCAGTGATTTGGTGGACAGTGCAAGTTGTGCATGGAATTGACCTGGATGTCACTATTTTACTAATAATAATAATAATAATAATAATAATAACACATGACATCGATCACCTCTTTCAAATCCTTGAAGACCACTTGTCGTACCCACGAGGAAATGCAAATGCTAACAATGGCCCGAAATTCCACCAGAAACCACCACTGCTTCTTACGTCAGTTCAAGAAATTCGAACCATGTGATTTTCATGAGTAATTTGGAGACAAAAATACGAGCGGCATAGCGAAGCACCTAAAGTCATACAATATTGTAGTGACTGCTCACATTCAGACAAACGCTACCAAACGCAAAGGAGGACAGCAAGTCACTTGACCTTATGGCCACCTGCCAAAGCCCTTTCTATAAATAGGAACGATTTTAGGTCATTAGTGGGCACCTGCAGTTCTGTCCACACCTGGAGGTCAGAAGATGACTGCGTTTCATGTCCCGCCCATAACCTTTCACAGTGTCTTTATGTTTCCAGGTGGGAGATGCAGGATGGTGCAGAGCTGGAAGACGAGGAGAAAATGATGGTAGAAGAACTCCGACGAGCCTATTTTGTTTGCCGCTGCGACGCGGGACCGCAGGAGTCTCGTGAAGCAGATGAAACGACGGCTGAGCGGACCCAAGGGGGGACCGCAACCGGCCGATAAAAACTGCTGCCCAATAACAGTCCGAGCAGTTGGAATTTTTATCATGCTGTAAATGTTTAGTTGTAATGCGCACTTGCAGCTCTCACGGTATTAGAGTGTGTGTGTGTGTGTGTGTGTGTGTGTGTGTGTGTGTGTGTGTGTGTGTGTGTGTGTGTGTGTGTGTG